TCAAGTTTTTGGATGGGATTTCTATATATATTTTAAAATATGAATATTTAAAATAAATTAGATGAGCTAGCCAAACCCTATTTTTGTTGGCTATTTGCATGGTCAAAAGGCACATCACATATATAATTCTAAGGCTTCGTTTGGGATGCTTTCTTAGGCTTCCTTTGAGACAGTTTTCCTATTGCTTCTTAAAGCAGCTTTTTAGTATAAGAAATAATTTTTTAATACTAAAAAGCTGCTTTAAGAAGCAATAAAAAAGTCTTCCCAAACGAAGCCGTAATGTTTCTTAAAGCAGCTTTCTAGTGCAAAATTTTTAACTTTTGTGCTAAAAAGCTGGTTTAAGAAATTGTAAGGAAGCCGTCCGAAATGAAATATATCTTATTAAATTGTGCTTCTTGTGTTGTAACGCTACTCCATGGGTCATTTTTTTTTTTAATGTCATGATCATTTATCTCCATTGCTAAACTAATCGCTTATTCCTAATGGTGATTCTATCACTTATAATCTAGCTTGTTTCTAGAAGGACCACTAGCCAATTGTTTTAAAAAAAATGGTTGTCTCTCCAAATCTAGCTAGGGATTGGATCAATATAATTTGGCTTGTAGCTTGTTATTCCTTTAAAAATAATCTTCTCAACTTTATAGCTTAAGCATTTCTGTGTCTATTTATAGGAACGTACACTTCCTCCACAAATTCTCTTTTAACAATACCCACTCTTATTCTTATCCATCACCCTCAACATTTTGTATAGCACCGTGTTATAATGATCGGCAAAAAAAGAAGAAAAAAGTTTTCGCATAATTGTTATATTTCATTGAACTTCTTAATATATACAGATATTATTTTTTTTTTCCAAAAAATATAAAGATCTTATTCCATGAAAATAAAAGGAGTACAGCAAGGGCCAAGCCAGCAGAATGATTGGAAAAACAAACCAGATACAGTAGAAGATAACAATGGGGAACTCAATCAAGAAGGTAAGTAGGCACAAAAGGCCACCAAGCTCAGTATTGGCAAAGACTACCAAGCACTCTGAATCCAGGCACGCATCATCCAGAGGAGTGAATGAGCAATAATCCACCTAAGAGCCCAACAACCGCCAGCATTGCTCAAAAGAACCACCACCAAAGGTTGCCAACTAGCTACAGATCCAGAGTGATGAGCCCGAGCCACATCATAGCCAAACAAAAACAGCAATATCTGCATGGCCGATAAAGAACTCATTCAGAAAAAGCTACAAGTTCCCAACAGAGGAGAAGAAAACAAAATACCAACACGGTAGCACACCCAAAAAAAGCTATCTTTTGGGAATCCCCTTTCTATGTTTATCCACTCAAAAGTAATCATCTCGCAAAATATCATTCTTCGCATATAATCTAGGTCATTTGAAAGTTTAACCAAGATATGTGAAAAATCGAGCAGAGTAACCGAAAAGTCACTAATAAGCTTCAGATTGAAAAAGAAAAAATCTACGAATGGAGACTAGACTAGGCCGCCGGGATGAAAAAAAATCCAACAAGTGAAAATTGGAATGGAGCAGCGAGGGCCTGAATTTTCTCCTCAGAGATCCACAGAGAGGGTAGACCGCAAAAGGAAGAAGACTTAAGCTCCGGAAAACACACATTAGATGGAGAACCAACTAAGGCTTCGGCGAAAGAATGCGAATAGTTGGAACCATACAAAAATCAGGATATAACAGACACTTCGGCGCCATTCCAACCGCAAGCAGCCTGAAAATAAAAATGAAACAACACAAAAAGATCTCAGAACATAAAGGAAAGGGAAAGAAAGACTTTCCTGGGCGCAACGGCCGCGGACGTCGCCGGGGGGACGCCCCAGAGGCAATCCCTAGACGAGCACAAGAGACGCCTCAGAGAGAAGCGCAAAAGTATATACATATATTATTATAAAATTTAAATATAAGAAAATTAGGAACAATAAGCAAATATAAAAGAACTAATAACCTTGTTGCAACAATAAAACCTCTATATGCAAATATAGAATACTAATAATTTTGTTATAATGATTAAAGCTAAAGTATATGCTGATATGAACGTTTGAAATCCTCCTCCCGACCAACAATAGATGAAAATATAATTACATCAAAACATAATGTTTTTAATTAAATATTACTACGTGTAAACATAAATTTTTTAATCGAGTTAATATTAATTAATATTATTACGTGAATATTTGCATATCTTGCTTTAGATGTTTAAATATCTGTGGAGTAAATTTTAGATGGTGTGAAAGGTAGCCATTGATGATTTTTTATTAAGGATCGAAGGTTGAGTTTTCTTTCTTCAGCATGTTCATATATAATGCTAGTACCGCTAGGTACCCAATACTTATCCGAAAGATTCTCTCCGCACTCCGCATCTAATAATCTCTTCGGGATGAGGCATAACTTTTCAATAAAATAAAGAAAAGTATGCCGCATAAGAGATCTGGGCGGTGTGCTTATTTTATATAAATAAGCCTCTTAGAATATTTTTTAGTACTTTTTAAAAGTTTTATTTTTTTAAAATAAAACAATTTAATTTTAAAAACAATAATTTGAGATATTTTAAATATTTTTAATAATAATTATTACAACAGTAATATTACGATCAAATATAATCGGTGCACTGTCAGCAACCATCAAATAAATCAATTTACTCGATATTCAATAAAAAAAATAGATATAAAACATGTTTTACTTCATATAAAAATATAAATAAAATAAAAATAAAAATGATCCCAAAGGCTCCCTTAGTTATTAGTTTCATTTCATTCTCTTGAGATAGCATGTTGGCCAGTGATGTATAGCCCATGTGGACTACCAACTAACTTAGAATAATGTCGCAATCAACAGAGCTAATCAAATGGCAAATACGAAATCAACTTCTACCAGTTTGGTCAAAAATGATTACGATCATTAAAAGGCAAGCAATTGCTTTAAGAAAAAAACATAGTAAGAAATTGCTTTGGCTTTTTTTTAAAATGTGGTCTTTTTAAAAATTTTAATTTGTATAAATGTTTTATAACAATGTTGTACATTAACTTCTTTCGTTGTTATCATGATTATAAAAAATGCATTAATAAAACATCTTATTAATTTCTATAATAATAATAATTATTATTTTACTTCATGCCAAATAATAAGTAGCAATAATATTATTTTTATCAAAATGTTATGATAATTTAGCAAAATGATAATCTGAAAAAAAAAAAAAAAAAACAGATTGCTTGGGTGAAAAAAATGGCACACAATGAATTGGCATTGGTTAAGACCCAAGTACCAAAAAAACATTAATAATATTTTATTTAAATGAATAATTAGATAATTGTAGCTTGTCGCCTTGTCTAAAGCTCCTAATAGATGGAGCTTTAGGCAATTAAGGGATGCTCATAACTCTTGATATATGAGTAGAAAGAAGATGAACTAAAGTTCGGTTTCATATTTTTGTTATTCGTGCGCTAATATTTTCTAAGAGCCTTATTTATAAATTATAAGAAAATAATTTGACTCTCTAATAGATGAATGATCATAATAGCAATATAATAAATCTTATTATCATTCCACATGCTTTCCACAACAACCTTACCATCATGGTCGAGTAGATCATCATAAAATCGGGGGGGCAAGGGCCAAGTGGTTGTCACCTTCAAGCTTGAGCCGAGTAGGATGGTGGATGAATGGAAAGATATTGTGGATCTGGGAGGTGAAGATATAAGACAGTTTGGACATAATAGTTATAGGTCACAAAATGGAAATCAAAGGTCAGACAGCGAAATCACAATGATCTAAGATGAAACTAGGTTGGACAAAAAAGAAAGGTTAAGGACGACACGATGTTGGATCAAGGCAATGAGTGAAGGTCATTAATTACTGGGCAATAAGAAAATTACCAATGCCAAAGCGAGTTTGGATTTGCCCATAATATGACGACAAAAAATTGTGTATGCTGCAAAAATGTGTGTGGCCTGGTAAAGATTAGGATGACCAAAGAAAACATATGATGTTGTAACCATGCAAAATTGCTTTAGCAATGTGGTTGTGATCTAAGATGATGAGAGTTGCATATTTACTGGCCAAGGACATGACTAGATCAAAACAAAGATGGGAGGTTAGCTAGCCAATGAGATCTTTGAGGGTTTCATGAACACGCGCGGTAGCCAAAAATGTGTGATATTTATTAGATATGAAAGACATTATCAAAGGGAATAGAATTCAAGTTTCTTGAATCTTATGATTGTTTTGCACAAATGGATTTAATTGTGAAATATGGGATTGTGTGGGCTACGAGATGAAATTAAAGGCTAATCTCAACATATGTAGTGATGAAATGACAAGAACGAAATGAGTTTGAAAGTTTATCTCAACAAATCTGATGATGAAATTGCAAGAATAATATTAGAAAAAAGTTGGCGTCGTAGATACTTGCGACAAGTAGATCCAAGCTAATCTGGCGGTGAAAGGAGGGCAGTGGAAATAGGTGAATGCGCTTGGAAGCGAAGGCAATTTGGATGTGATCTCAAGCTGTGAAATTGGTGATGGTGAGTTGGGGTTGGATGAATCTGATGACTGTGTGACTGAAAGAATGATGAGATGATGCACCTAGCTAGAGGCTCAATGAGAACACTATCATTATGATCCAAATAAAGAATATAAAAAACTAATAATATTTTATAAAAAAAATAGCTAGAAAACTAAAATTTACCTAAAACTCCTTATAGATAGTGTAGAAATTAAGGTTTGAGGAATTAAATGATGCACGCAACTTCTAGAATTAGAAAGGAGGTTTTCTCTTTCTTTGTCTTTATATAAATATATAAATTTTTTTTTTTTGGGGAAAAATCGGGAATATATAATAAATGTGGAAGATTGAAAGTTGAAGTCATGGCTCCCAAATCCACGTGCGATCTCACAACTCCACGTGTGATCAAATAATTTAGACTCACAGATAAATCTGGCCGCCTTTCTTGACTCCAAAACCATATAAAAACCTCAGGCCAAAGAGCCAATACATACCATCAACATCTCTCTCCACCCTTTCCACAACCTATTAGAGAGAGAAAATAATGGAAGCATTCCCGATTCAGTTCTGCAGAGCCGTGAGATCCTACTGGGTTCGCCGGCGCTATGAACGGCTTGAAAGAAGTAATAAGAAGACCGTGAAGGTTGCCCGGCTCGGCGGTGGCGCCGGTTTTCGCCGACCGATCAAGTTCAGGCGGACGTTCCGGATCCGGTTCAAAATGCTGTCGCCGGTCCGCCTCTTGGCCCGGCTCAGGGATGCTTATGTGGAGGCAATGCTTGGGCTTGCTGGGAAGGGGTCGGGCCTGTCCTCCTCAGCCGGGGCGGAGCTTCTCCTGACCCGGAGGATTCCTAAGGCCCGACCTGGCAAGCTTGAACCCGGTGCTTTCGAGCGCCGGTTGCTACTTGAGATCTGCCGGTCCATTCGCGAATCTGGCGGGTTAGCCGCTATTTAACGGCCGAAATCATTAGGAGTTGATGAGGTTGAGCTTGCTGCGAAGTTCTTAGGGAAGGGCTAAATTGTAAAATACATTCCAAGGGTATAAATGTAAACAGATTTTTTCATTTTTTTTTGTGTCGTCATTGCTGGGTAGAAATGTAATTTTCTTTTTGTTCCTGCCTTTTTTATAAACATGTAGTCTCGTGCAATATTGGGTGACTGCTTTGCTACAAGTCGTGTAATTCCTTCGTTCTTAAATTCCAAGTCAACATTCGCATATGTCAAGCTACAAAACAATTTAAAGGTCAAATATAAATAGGATGGTTGCTTAAAGTCCCATTTGAAGGAACTTTTATTCTATCCAGTGAACGTACGCAGAGGAAGGTTCGGTTTTAGGTAAAAAAGTGTCTGTACCGAGTTTTTTGAAAAAACTCGATACAGACGTGAAAAACAGTCAAAATTGTTTGTACAGACGCTTTTTTACCTAAAACCGAACCTTCCTCTGCGTACGTTCACTGGATAGAATAAAAGTTCCATTTGAAGGGAAAATTTTCTGTAACCTCTTAAAGTTTCACTTGTTTTAAAATATAAAATTTCTTATTTTTTGTGATTAAGTTATGTTAGGATATGTTTGGTTTGAGGTAGAAAAGTTATAGATTTTTTTTTTTAATGTTTTTGAAATGCACCTTTATAATATTTGGAAATTATTAGATTGGCAATGCATGTAAATCAACTCAACAACCACCAGCCCATGTCATCACCTGTTGCCACCGTTGTTTAACATCGTCGCCGCCACAACTAGTTGACATCGTCGCCACTTGCTACTTTCTACTGGCCATGATTATGCATGGGTTTTAAATTGCATTCATTTTAATTCAAAACAAATAAGAAAAATAATATCATGCATTTATTTTGCACTCGTCCAAAAAAACTCTAAACAATTTAAATATATTACATCATTTCATTTTACTTTGTATTTCTCTTTTAGTAAACTAAACATCCCTTTTATATTCTTTTTTTTTTTTATAAAGCTAAATTTTTTATTTTTTTACATTATCTTATATGCTACTATGAAGTAGAAAAAGATATTTTTTTATACTTTTTTTGGATACATTAAATATCTACTTGAGTGCAAGAAAATGAATGACAGTAGCGAATTTGCCGTTTAAAACACAAATAATATAGGTTGAAAGAAGCTCATAGGAAACAATATATTTATGTAAAAAAAAAAAAGATATAGGGTATATATATATATATATATATATATATATATATATATATCCGTAATTAAAGACGGTATTGATACAAGGTAACATACATTAACTCTAGCTAGATGATGACTTCCATGGTGGAAGTTGAATGAGACATTTTATAACACATACATATCAATGCACCATTCCACCTATTATAGCATGATCTGATTCAAGATATCTACCGAATTTTTTTTATTTGGACTCTTCTGCATATGTCTAAGATTGCTTTGTATGGATGTGAAAGTCTTCATGTGTTTTAAAGCAAGTCTTGGGGGCCTGTGTGTATGTTTTGCATATTTGAAATTTTTTCTTGGGGCGTTGCTGCATTGGGGTAGGCGGCATTGTGGATTTTGGCCACTTAATTAGATGTTGCGGTGCTATGGTGGCATTGTGACATTGTATGCTCCCAAAGGAGAGTTGCGACAGTGTGCATCAAGATCAATGATGATTGCATGCATCAGCGTTAGAGTTGATGACATGCTACCTACTTAGCAAATGATGTTGGTTGAGGTTTATGTTAACAAAATGCCTTTGGTCATATTGGTGATGACATTCATTGTTGTTAGTGCCAATGACATACACAAGCATTTATCAATGATGATGTGGGTCAATGTTATTTACAAAAGACGATGGATGTCGGAAGACAAAAATTGTTGATTGTGTTTTAGTGATTGTAGTTGGATGATTATGGTTAAATAACAATGATTGAGGGAATACAAATGAGAAATAATAATCAAACAATGATGGGCAAGCGATAATGATTGGTCAAAAATGACTGAATAATTATAGTCAAGTAATTGTGGTCGAAAAATTATAGTCAAATAATGGTGTACATGCTATCATAAATGGGCAATAATATCCATAGTCATAATTAGTAGATAGCAGTTAAACAACAACAGTTGGTGATTACTAATAGCGATCACTCGAGAATGCTTCATATCTCTAAGCTTTCTCCAACTCCAACTCCCTCCTATGTGTAGAATGGGGATGTATCTATACTTTTTTTTTTTTAACGACATTTTTGTTATCATAGTCAAACACTTTAAATAATTTGGATGATCCATATTCATTCTCTTAATTGATCATAATTCATTATCTAAGCTTTTAAGTGTCTTACTAATATAAAAATGATCAAGGGATCTCTCATTGGATTCCTTTCATTGATATGCTATTTTTCGCTGCATGCATGTAATATTTAAGAGTTTTTTGGTCCTTTATATAATGCTTTAAAATTTTCAACTATGCATTTGATACGTCACCAAAAATTATCTTGACCGGGCACGAATCTTGAGGCATAATCAAGTTGGAAACTTCAGAAATTAATTTGGAGACTATCCAAACTCTAATTTCAACAAACTTATAATCGAACTGAACGTCTCGAGAAGACAAGCCCAACGACACCAAATTCGACTAAATCCGAGCCCGAATGGGTCCAAATCAAGGGTCTGAAGCACTATTGAAGGGTTCAAACCACAATTTGGATTACCAAACGGTCTCCAAATATGACATGCTTAAATTCGAATCTAGCGGCTCGACGAGACAAATCCAACGAGCCTAAGATCATGTAATTCTGAGATTGTTAAGGCATCCAATTGACCAATAAACGACCCATGATCAAAGGAATCGATATTAGCCGTCCATTCAAATCACTCTCATTTTGACCTTGATCCTCCATATATTTACAAGCCATGTCACTCTAAAAAAACTATAAATAGCCCCCACTCTTCTCATGAGAGGAGGGGAGAAGAGAAGAGGAAGGGAAGAATTTGGGAGCTCTCTTGCCACCGACCACTACCGGAGTTCCTGCCGACCACCGCCGGGCATCGTCGGGGTTTCCTTCTGACCGCCGGAATTCCTACCAACCATCGCTGGAGTTCCTGCTGACCACCACAGGAGTTTTCTTGCCAACCACTGCCTAAGTTTTCTTCTGTACCGTCGCTAAAGCTTTTCCCAACCACTGTCTTTTTTTGGTCATTTCATCAATCATCGACAAATTTTTGTCTGTTATTAACTTGTTGTATTTCCAACATCTCCAAGTAAAGGAGCGAATCAAACTTTGTAACCAATCCATATACAGTGGAAATTTCTCATCTGGGCCAGGCTCCGTGGTTTTTCCCTTTTCAGGTTTTCCACGTAAAAAAGGTTTATGGTGCTTTTCTCCCTTAATTATCTGTTGGTGTGCTGGATATACATATATTGCTAAGACGTTATATTTTTCATTCTATCACCACGTATATTCTAGTCCGCAACAGCATTGAATGCATGATTTAAGCTCAAGGACTTGGATCAATAAATTTTTGATGTCGTTGGGTGACATTGGACTTCCACCCGGCTGCTGACCGCCACCGGTCTTTAGTCTGACCTTCGTCAGACCACCACCCGGTAGCTGCATGTCTCCTTTCTTCCACCTGACCGCCTACCGCCACTGGACTTTAGCCCGACCTTCGTTGGTCACCACCCGGTCACCGAACACAGAAGGAATTCCACACGACCGCCGTCAGACTTCAGCCCAACCGCCGTCGAACCACTGCCCGGCAACCGACAACCATTATACTTCTACCCGGCCGCCGACAGTTGCCGGACTCAGCCCGGCCTTTGTCGAACCACCGCCCGTCCGTTCAACTGCCACCAGACTTCCACCTAGCCACTAACCACCGCTATAATTCAGCCCAACCTTTGTCGGACCACCCGGCCGCCAATTGACGTGAGACTTCAGCCTGACCTTCGTTGGACCAACGTCAGTCCGCCGACCACCGTCGGGCTTCCACCTGACCGCCGACCATCGCCGGACTTCTACCCGACCTTCATCAGACCTTTTGTTAACTCTCCAAGTTATTATAATTTGAACGCCTCTAAGTCGAGGGAAGGGTCAACCCTTGTAATTATCTCAAGTTTAGTGGAATCTTTTCACCTGGGGGAGGCATTATGATTTTTCCCTCTTCGGATTTTTTCACGTGAAAAAGATTGGGTGTTTAATTTCTCTCTTTATGTTTGTGTGCTGGATATCTGTGCATCACTAAGTCGAAAAGTTTATTCACTCCATATGGCCACGAATCTTCTAGCCCACGATAATATCAATTCTAGATTGATACTTCTAAAAGGACAAAAAGATATTTCATCACTTAAGTAATTATATTTGTAGGCCTATATAGTTAGGCTATAGGTTGTTAGCTTCATTTATGATGTGACATAATGATTGATAATACATAAAGTACTATTTTGATGCGAGTCCTCGATGATAATGTTGGTTGTTAGTGGTGATAACTAATGGTTCTAATTAAAGGCCTAGGCTGTAAAATTCAAGAAAGTTCTCTCAATAGATCTATTCTCCTTCCTCCCCCCTCATGTGAAGAATAATAGCCTATTTATAAGTTTTTGGCAGTGGCACAGTCTGTAAATATAGAGAAAATATAGGGCAAAGTTGGAGTGCTCCATCAAATCATTTGTTTTGAATCCTTCGATCATAGAGCTTTAGTCAAATATTTAAATGCCTTAATTAGTTCAAAATTATGTGACCTTCGTCTCGTTGGACTTGTCTCGTCGAAACGCCTGATTGTATTATAAATATGTCATATTTGGAGATTATTTGGTTGCCCAATTAATGTTGTAAAGCTTTCAAATATGCTTTAGTCCTTTTATTCGAGCCTATTTGAACTCAAATTTGACAAATTTAATGTCATTGGATTCGTCTTATCAAGAAGTTCAATTTGATTGTAAGTTTGCTGATATCTTAATTTGAAAGTTTTCTATTCAAAAATGCCTTGAGATTAGTGTTTGTTCAATGAATTTTTTTGTTGAGTATCAATATTTAAAATATATGACAAAGCACAATAGGATAAATAATTGCATGCACCATTAATCAAGCGTTTCAAACACTATATATATATATATAGTCTAAATAAAAAAAATAATTATATATATGATATATCATTAAAAAATTATCTTGATCGAGCACGAATCTCAAGGCAAAAATCAAGTTGGAAACTTCAAAAATTAAATTGGAGATCATTTGAGCTCTGACTTCAGCCAACTTATAATCGAATTAAACGTCTCGGAAATAGGAACCCAACGACGTGAAATTTGACCCAATCTGAACTCAAATTGGTCCAAATTAGAGACCCGCAGCACATTTGGAACAATCCATAATTTGGATTACCAAACAATTTCCAAACATGGCATAATTATAGTCGAATCGAGTGGCTAAACAACACAAATCTAACGAGCCTAAGATCGTTAAATTCTGATATCATTAGAGCCTTCAAATGCCTGATAAACGGTCCACAATCAAGAAATTCAACATCGGCCATCCATTCAAACCACTCTAATTCACCTCTGATTTCTCATTTATTTATTGGTCATACCACTCTCAGAAAACTATAAATAGACCCCTCATTTCTCTAATTAAGAGGGGGTCCTAAGCATGACGAGAAAAAGAGAAGAGAAGGAGATCAAAGTAGAAGAAAAAAAGGAAGAGAAGGAAGAAGCTCCTCCTCGAACACTGTCGGACTTTCACCTGGCAGACGACCGATGCTGGAGTTAAGTAAGGGACCCCAAATTGCGAGGAGGCCCAAGCAAGAAGAGAAGAGAAGGAAGCAAGGAAGAGAAGGAAGAGACTCATCCTCAACCACCGCCGAACTTTCACCCAGCAGCCTACCGACACCGGAGTTCTGCCCGAATGTCATCTAACGACGAAGTTCTGCCTGGCCACCGACTGACATTTAACTTCAATTCGACGCCGGATTTCTACTAGACGTCGGACTTCTACCTGTCGTCGGACTTTTATCTGATGTCAGACTTCTGTCCAACGACAGACTTCTACCAAACTCTAGACTTGTACTCGTCGCCAGATTCCTTTCTGACACAAGACTTCCACCCATCGTCGGATTCCTACCCGACGACGGACTTCCGCCTGTCACTAAATTCTATCAAACTTCTACTCGAAGACGGACTTATGCCAGTCAACGGACATTTGTTGGACTTCTATCCTACACTAGACTTCTTTTTGATGCTGGACTTCTGTCCATTGCTGGACTTCTACCTAATGTAGTCCTTCCGACCTCTGCTGCCAGACAAAGGCCTTTATGACCTCCGTCGCCCGCTAACTACGGTTTGCTACCTTCCTTCTAACCTCCATCATCCGCTGACTACGGTATGCTACCTTCCTTATGACCTCCATCATCAAACAAAGGTCCTTTCGACTTACGTCGTCTATCGACTACAGTCCTTCTAACTTACATCGCCCACTAACTACAGTCCTTCCGACCTTTTTTGCTTGCCGACTATGGTCTTTCCGACTTACGTCGCCCCCGGCCCCGACTATAGTCCTTCCGACCTCCATTGTCCACCGACTATGGTCCTTATGACTTATGTCGTCCATCGACGCCCTTCCGGCCAAGCGAATATGTCAACAATGACTCTTTGTATTCACAACATGTAATGTAATTCATATGATGTACATCAAGTCAAGGCATTCCCCCTAAGGAAGGGTCTTATTTTTAATCAGCTTTAAATAATAGTCGATTCATTCAAGCTGGGATATGCCCCATGGTTTTTTCACCTTTTTAGGGGTTTTCCACATAAAAATCCTGGTGTCTCCTATGAATATTACACTCTCGTCTATGTTCATCTCTGTGCGTACTGGATCTTTGTATAAAGCTAAGACGTTAAACTTTATATTTCTCTACTTGTGAATACTCCAAGACGCAACAATATATTTATATAAAATATTGAATTGGTTTGCGGGTAAGCAACCTAAGTCCTATAGAATTATTCAAATGAGTAGTACTAAAAATATCAAAGTAGATGAATTTATTTAAATAAATAAGCGGTGGGGCTATCAATAAAGCCAATTGGACTTTGTTAATTTGTTTCTTCCAAAGATTCTGATTGTAACAGAATCTTTTAATGTTAAGGATTGATTGGGTGATAACTTAGGCTTCATTTTGGACAACTTTTTTTCTATTCTTAAAGCCGTTATTTAATATGTTATATTAAAAAAATTGTTTTAAAAAGTAGAAAGAAAACAATTTCAAACAAAATCTTAATTTTTAAAGAAAGCACCGAAATCTCAATCATTCAATATGAATTTAATTGCTGAGATCTAAGAGCTTTGCCTTCTATTTATCATGATAATTAGTTTTAATCTTTAAAAATTTTATAAGCATTTGAACACTTTTTTTAATTATAATATATTTTTAAATACAAACAAAAGAAATTAAATAAAAAGTGTAACATAGATATTCAAAATAGCAAAATTTTTTTTCAAAAATATAATATAATTTTAGGGAATATATTATCTATATATAATTCTCATCTCAGAATTAATTCAATAACTTTAAATCTTTAAAAATTATTTTAATTATAAAATGGTGAAACTGAAAGAAAAAATTGGACGTAAGCCTGCTTGCCAGATGTGAACACCGCCGTATTCGCAAGTCTATTTAGAATCTTTCCGGTCAATTACAAAAAAGGCCTCTTGTTTCGTTATTGGCCTCGTTGGCCGTACCTGGAATTCTGGCTTCCATTAAAATTGGGTCTTTGTATTTTAATCATTCGGCGGATCTCACCCAACTTGGGAGAAGAAAGACTCTCCTCTTGTTGCTCTCGATCTCCCTCCTTTTCTTCCGGGCTTCAAGAAGTCGGCATGGCTTGGAAGGAGGAAATCAACTCTCATGGTGCGCATGGCGAAAGTTCACTGGATTCCGGCCACGCCCGGCTTCATGAGCTCGGTTACAAGCAAGAGCTTAAGCGTGATCTCTCGTAAAGATCTTCTCTTTTCCCGTTCCCTATTCCATCTCATTTGTTGTTTATTTTCCGAATTCGTGGGTGTTTGATTGGGTGATTGCAGGGTTTTGTCCAACTTTGCCTTTTCATTTTCGATTATATCGGTGCTCACCGGCATCACGACGCTGTACAATACCGGGCTTCGATATGGTGGTCCTCTTGCCATGACTTATGGGTGGTTCGTTGCTGGAGGGTTTACAATGATGGTGGGGCTGTCTATGGCGGAGATTTGCTCTTCTTATCCGACCTCGGGCGGGCTCTATTACTGGAGTGCCAGGCTCTCCGGGGCGAAATGGGCACCCTTTGCCTCTTGGATGACTGGCTGGTATGCTTGCATCAATCATTTTCATTAAACTATTCAACCTGCATCAAAACTCATTGCATGCGAACTCCTTAGCCATGTCCATTTGTAGAAAATGTCTGATTGGTACGGTTGTCTTCAATTCTTATGTGATGCCATTTCTGCATGAGCATGATCAGCATAGATGAGTAGATTTGGAAGGCTGATGGCATATCATCTGAAACATACTTTATATCCAAGTTTTGAAGGATTCCTTAATTTCTAAATTATTATCTTAATATCAGATTATACAAAAGATATCTCATATCTAGGGCGGAACTAGCCTTAATTTTTAAGGGGGGCAAACTTATAAGTAAAAATATAGAGATTTCATAGATATGTCGGGGTCCAAAGGGGCGGTGCCTCTTGGAGGGGTTCGACCTGATTGGTCAGTTCGCAGGGTCAAGGGGTAGCGCTCCTGCTAGGTCTGCCCTCGAAACAAATTTTGGTTGTAAGGATATTTTTGGATTCTCTTTACTATTTCTCTTTGTATTTGGTTCATTCGTTCCCTAACAATAACACCTCTACACAATGTGTTTAATTATGTTGGGGGCAATTGTCTAAAGATCATAGTATTTTAAAACTTTTAGGTTGGGGGGGGTTCTCCGCCTGCAGTAAATGAGTACCGGCCCCACAGGGGCCGGTGGGGCTATGGACCGAGCAGGTCCATCAGTATGCTTATGAGAAGCAATATGTTTTATATCTCACATTGCTACCTTCAACTAAACACCTTCTTGAGTTAGGAAAAAACATCTAAGGTGCCTTACCAAGCCGTTAGTTTTATGATTGATCCGTTTGTCTAAGGATTTTTTATCTCAGGCAAATAAACAGTCAAGTTGAATAAAGAATGAAACAGAGGATTGTTTTTGTGGAAAATTCTTGGAGGAGAAAGCCAATGGACCTTGCCTAGTTTAATCACTTCCATTATTTGTAAGAAATTAATACACGAGTGATCTACCTCCAAGCAATCAAATGAACTATAGTACAAGGCTTTTCTTGGGAATTTGGAAAAGGTGGCATAAAAGCCACTTAGATAGGTCTTCATGTGTGATAGTTGTAAATATTGTACAAAAGTATAACTGTAGGAGTTGTGGCTTACTTAAGAGTTATTGTATAGTTTCTAATAAGTTATTGACTTGGTCTTGGGTGGAATGGATGCATTGTAGGTTCTACAAGTAATGGTTGTGGCACAAGTCGGGTTGATGATTGTTGCAATGCAAGTTCTATTGATGATGACTATGGTACAAGTCCCGTGGGAGTTGATTGTGATTGATGCAAGTAAGGTTGTGATAGAGATTTTTTGAAGACATGCATAAAAAATCACAAAATATATACTTTCATAGACTCATAGTATGGTGAGGCGCACCTTTGGCGTTATTAGCATAGCAAGGTGTAGGACGGCAAAATAAAGTAACTATGTATGCTATTTGTCCGTTATGTGCTATGGCACATAACATGTGCCAATTTGTTGATTCAATTTTTTAACTGATCTTTTATTTATTTTGGTTTAGATTTTTTTTTTTTTTGGCAGATGAGTTTGAGCATGAGTTATTTCGTTTACAAGAAGTATTTTAAAGGCTTGTTTGAGGGTAAAATCGTTCAAAAATTACTAAGCCATTTTTAAAAAAAATAGATAATGCTAATAAATGGTTAACAAGGAAGTTGAATAATCATTTAGATGAACATGATTAATTGTTGTTTGGAAGACAAAATTTTATATGCAGTAGCATTGCGAGAGTTGGCGATGTCTGTGTAAGAAACTATGACATTTAAGATTGATATAAAGGGAAAAAAAAAGAATATTCATCCAAGAGACACTTCCAGGTGAACATGAAAATGATGAGGGTAATAATGAAGATTATGATTTGAGAGATGATTTTGATGAAGGAGATAATAATACTTTGGTTTATGATGTTGATGATTCTCAAAATGGCTAATTTAAATTTTTTACGAATAAAGAATTGTAAAGAAATCATTTCCTATGTTCTGAGCCTGTTCAAAAGTTTAATATTTGTCTTAAATATTATGCATTGCTATAACACTTAACAGTTTTATTTGCAAAATTAGTTGCTTATTTGTTTTGATACTTTATGTTTCAATATGTTTGTCTTTTGCTGACCTTATGTTATGTCATGCTGAATTTCCTACACCTCTACTTCTTGTGGCTTCCCGGTATTGTTCCCTGTTTTTATTGTTGTTTCTCATTGTTATCCCCTGTTTCTACCATTGTTTCCCATTATTGTTTCCTATTTTTGCATGTATATGTTTCACGCTATATTGTTCTCGCTACAGCTCCGCTTTGCTTCCCACTCCTTTGTTTATCACCACTCTTGTAGTTGCTACGACTTGAGTTTGCTAGTCTTATGAAGGCTGGCTTCGTGAATTTCTGCAATTTTGTTGTGTGGAGATATAAGATGGCATATGAAATATGAAATATGAAATAAAGCCTTGGGAACGAGATGGAAACTGCATACTTCAATTACTGAAAGCATGGAAATGTTACTGTATTTATCTTAAATTACTTCGTAAAGTTTCTGAGATAATATAAACCAAAATTTTGCAGGTTCAACATCGTTGGACAGGTAAAAGATGTTCCTTAAATTGGAGATCCTAACCTCCATTTTCTCAGGAGGATTGTGCATTCTCTCAAGTTATATCATTCTTTTGTTATTCTTCTGAGCCTTTGAAAACATTCTCGTGTCAGTGGGCTGTAACTACAAGTGTAGATTTCTCATTAGCACAACTTATCCAAGTGATCATCCTTCTCAGCACTGGGGGGCATAATGGTGGAGGATACCTCGCTTCCAAATATGTAGTTATTCTCTTTCATGGTGGGATTCTTCTTATTCATGCCATCATAAACAGTTTTTCAATTAGATGGTTATCTTTTTTCGGACAGCTTGCTGCGGCATGGAATGTCTTAGGTTAGTCTTGACTTCAAATTTCCTCCTTAGCTTCTTGAACAGATGTAGACTTCATTTGGGACGGCTTTTTTACTGCTTCTTAAAGCGGCTTTCTAGTAAAAATAAAAAAATTTTATACTAGAAATCCGCTTTAAGAAGCAGTAAAAATGCCGTCCCAAATGAAGCCGTATTCTTATACTGGAACTTGTGTTCAGGCTTGAAGTTGAACCTTTTTTTTTCTTGGATTTGAAAAAGGTGTTTTTGTCCTTATGATTCTCATCCCCTGCGTTGCTACCGAGAAGGCTAGTGCCAAATTTGTCTTCACCCATTTAAACACTGAAAATGATGCCGGAATTCATAGCCAGGTTTACATATTTGTGCTGGGACTATTGATGAGCCAGTACACATTGACAGGATATGATGCATCTGCACATATGGTAAGCAAACATCTTTTTTTTCCTATGTGCAAAACTGTTTATAAACTAGCAACTTCTGTAACACATAACTCTATTGCTTAACTTGTAAACAAGTCTGTTCTCTAAAAAATGGTTTTCTCTAATCCATTAATGGACGACGAATTTCTCCATTCTGTAGATACTTATTACCATGAACTATACATCATTTTTTTATAATTTTCCCGTTCTTCAGTCTACAATTTTGTCTACTTTCTGAAGCTCAGTTGCCTTCAAATTTCATTTTGAGAGCAATTAAAATTTTAACAAGCTTTGCAACTTGAATTTCCTTCAGACTGAAGAAACAAAAAATGCAGACATAAATGGACCCAAAGGAATAATTAGTGCCATTGGTATATCTATCATTGCTGGTTGGGGGTACCTACTTGGTATCACATTTGCTGTTACCAACATCCCATATCTTTTGAACAGATATAATGATGCTGGAGGTTATGCCATTGCTGAGGTATTTTACCTTGCCTTTAAGAGTAGATATGGCAGTGGAGTTGGTGGCATCGTATGTTTGGGAGTGGTCGCTGTTGCCATATTCTTCTGCGGCATGAGTTCTGTGACCAGCAACTCTAGGTATCAATGATTGATAAATATTCACAAATTTTATTTTTAGAACTTTATTTCTATGGATATAGGTGTTAATATTGGTTTTGTGATGCTTTAATCTATGAAATACTTTTGTATCTTCGTTCCTTCTAGTTGAATTAGCTCTCTCTGAACTTCTCGTTCTTGAAAAACAGGATGGCCTATGCATTTTCAAGAGATGGAGCAATGCCCTTCTCATCGTTCTGGCATAAAGTTAACCACCAAGATGTCCCTAGGAATGCGGTTTGGCTTTCTGCATTCATATCATTTTGCATGGCACTGACGGTAATGCAAAGTTATATCTATGTGTTTAATTATTATATAAGAATTTGCTGTCTTTTTATTTCCTTCATACATGTCTTAAAATGGAGAAATTACTACGTGCGGCTACCGGACGTAGAGCTATGTTCGGCTACTTCCGGTATCCAATGAAAATATAATGCGTTGATTAGTATATTACTAGGTATTTCGTTGTATTGGTTTGTATTAGCAGTGTTTTGATGTGTATTAGCTAGTACGCAGTAATACACACCAGTACATCTAATACACACAAATACATAGCTTGTGTATTACTGTATATTGATGTGTATTATTGTGTTCAAGCTAATACTCAACAATACACATCAATACACAACTAATACACACTAATACACATCAATACATAGTAATACACTAGTTTACGCGTCATTTTTTTATTAGAGTCTGAGCATAGCTCTACGTGCGATGTCCGCACGTAGTAATTTCTCCTTAAAATATGGCTTGGCTTTAATAACCGCTTGCCCTCTGAATACCAACACCATTGCTTTGCTGCCTTCTTCTATGATTGTAACATCCACAATCCACATAATTTAGGTACTCAAAGCTAAAGCGATTTAATCATATTTATGGCTAATTCGCTGCTGCTTAGTAGCTTTAAGACCTGCGTTGAAGTAAATTGTCTCTGGGTAAAGAAGTTGATTTTTTTTTCTAGAAACTTTATTTCAAAAAGTATGAAAAGCAGAAGTCCAACCAAAGGAGCCCTTAAAATCTGCAAATCCACCAAATTACTCCTACAGCTTAAAAACTCTCTCTCCTTGATCATTTTTCTCTTCTTCATCCCATAGAACTTCATCAACTGTTTCTGCATTCTGTTTTAATGTTTCTTAAACTTTATAGCTAATTGACTCTATTAAAATTTTCTTTTGCAGTCTCTGGGAAGTTTAGTAGCTTTCCAAGCAATGGTGTCCATAGCCACCATTGGCCTCTACATTGCCTATGCTCTCCCAATCTTTTTTCGAATAACATTGGCGCGCAAATCTTTCGTCCCTGGGCCATTTAACCTCGGCCGCTACGGAATACTCGTCGGTTGGGTCGCAGTCCTTTGGGTGGCTATCATCACAGTCCTCTTCTCACTTCCTGTTGCTTACCCGATCTCTAGGGACACTCTCAATTATACACCGGTTGCTGTTGGTGGCCTGCTTTTACTCACAGTTTCTTCATGGTTTTTAAGTGCAAGATATTGGTTTAGAGGACCCATAACCAATATTAATACATAGGAGGGTATTGGCATAGGAAGTTATGATTGTTGGATGGATGGAAAGAGTTCATTCGATATCGAATTGTTGATGTTTTAACATAAACAAATGTTTTCATTGTAATTATTTTGGCATCAACTTTGGTGTGGGGGTGGAGCTATTTGTTTGTAGGAGCAAAGTTTTGTTGCTCAGCTAAATTTATTTGAAATATATCAATAATTCATTTGTAATGATTATAAAATTATCAAGTTCAATTTAGACTTCTTTTGGGATGATTTTTTTATTGCTTCTTAAATTAATTTTAATTTTTTTGTACTAAAAAATTATTTTGAAAAGTAATAAAAAAACTGTCTCAAAAAAATCTTAATCGTGTTCATTTTTTTTCAATGTTTTTAATTTCTACTTTCTTTAGGAGGGAAGTGAGCCACATAAATCTTCATCTGACCTTTATAATAAATAAGTGCCTAGTTTTGATAATATTTTTTTTGAAAAATAAATTTTACATGTATAAGTGAATCCTCAAATGATTTTTGAAGGTAATATTTTATAAACCTTTTCTTTTATTTTATACAAGAGTTTATCTTCATAAAATATAATATATTCTTCTTCTTTTTTTTTTTTTTATAATTCACTTTGGGCGACTCTGCTAAGTGCAGATTATTCATCTTCGGTCGGAACTAGGGGTGCAACCGAGCCAAGCCGGTTAACAGGCTTGACGAGCCGAGCTTATCGAGCTCGAATACAGGGTTGCTCGACTCGATAGCTCGTCGAGTAGCTCGAACACGCGAGCAACGACGGACGCGGGCAGCGACGAATGCGGGCACACGAGCTTGAGCACCTCCGGACTTCTCCGATTAGCGATGCTCGAGCAGCGACGGATGCGGGCACACGAGCTCGAGCTCCTCCGGCCTTCTCCGATCAGCGACGCGAGCAGTGACACGCGAGCAACGACAGACGCGAGCACGAGCTCGAACCGCCGCTCGAGAGGTCGACGAGCTTTTTTTTTCTCTGTCGAGTCGAGCTCGACTTTTGAGGTCGACTCGAGTTCAAGCTCGACATTTGACATACAAGCTCGGCTCGAACAACCCTTAACTCGAGCTCAACTCGACTCGTTTGCACCCCTAGTCAGAACCTTTTGCTCTCTTATAAGGAGTCCAGCAGCTTTTAAGTTTAACCTAGAAATAAGGCACCTTTTCATTCAAGGAATCAACTTTTTCCTTATTTTATTCAAGTCTTTGTGATTTATTTATTTTATTTTTTTTTGAAATTGGTCAATTTTCATATATGAATTAGACCAATAATTAGTGAGTTGCCATTCTTTTATATATACTATTCCCCTCTTTCTTTAAATAGGATAAGCTCCCTTGGAACATATATTTTGCCCGCCCCAAGTACTAAGCATTTAACATAATCCTTAAATACTTGGTTATCTAGCAAGTATGCTGAGTATTTGATTAATCAGTAGCTTATTGCGTACAAAATGATAGTAAGAAAGGTGGCAAAAGAAAAAAAAAATCCTTAAGTCATCTATGCTTATGTTTTTGGTTCTTCTTTAACAACATGAGTTTTAGAGGTATCAAAATGGGACAACTAGTTGGGTTCGAGTCAAACTTGACCTAACCCGACCCAGTTTTGCAAACGGGTTCGGAATTCCTACATGGACTCGACCCAAGTGAGTTACCTGGTTGATCCGACCTGACCTGCGAACCAGGACACAAAGGTTGATCTAGGCGACTAGGCGAGTGCTTAGTCCGAATTGATGGAAGTTCAGATGTGCTACATACCACATGCAAGGATAGTGCGGTCAGTGTCGGACGCTACATGTGAATCAAGATACCAAATGCTAACCCGAGCAGTGAGTGGATAGCAGACCAAACTAGGACGTAGCGCATTGATGCGGGACATCAGATGCGGACCTAAGAGGTCTAGCGGGACACCAGTCACTAGATGGCGAATGGTTTGAGGTGGAGTCGAGAGGGACTTGGACATCAGACGCTGACCCGAGAGCGACACGGTACGCCTGTGCAAGAAGCCATATCAGAATCAGACTCGAGGCCAACTCACCAATGAGGATCAATGGCTCGCGGGTCAAACCCTAGTTAATTTCGGGTTATCGAGTCAACCTGAACCTGACCCAATTTCAGAAATTGGTCAGAATCTCGAATCCGAACCTTGAATTTTTTAGGATCGGGTTTTGGTTGGGTCAAATTCGACATCCATAATGAGTTTGTAGTGAGCAGCTTTGATATGTCACTAAGAAATTATCTTAATCGTTCACAAATCTCAATGCAAATATGAGTCAGAAGCTTTCAAAATTTCGATCCAAACTTGACTTCCGCGCTCTTGTAAGCTTATAGCTAAATTGAACATCTCAGGAAGTTTAACTCAATCAAATTAAGTCTAATCCGAGCTCAAATGAATTCAAATCAAAGGACCAAAACTTTCTTGGATTCTTCAGAGCATTAATTTGATGACTAAATGATATCAAAATATGACATGCTATAGTCAAATCGAGCAGCTCGACTAGACAAATCTAACTAGCCTAAGATCACTCAATTTTAACATCAGTAAGACAATTAAATGTTTAATAAACAATATATGATCAAAGGAGTCAATATGAGTCATCTAATGAAACACTCCAAAAATATCCTTGAATTTTCTCGATATTTATTGAACATGCCACCAAAAAAAAAAAACAACAACAATAAATAGACCCCTATTCTTCATATGAATGGGAGGAGGACGGTTGAAGAAAAGAAGAGCTTTGAAGCATGTAAAATCTTAGAGCTCTACCCTGGCACCACCCTTGACGAATCCAGGTCACTGTTACACTGTTATTTTTGTTTTAATCTAGGTCACCGCTATTGAACCTCTACTTGACCATCGCTTTTGGATCTACATCTGCTTTCCAATCTTGAGCCTTCCTCTAATCACTGTCGTTCGCTGACAATGATCCCTTCGACCACCATTGCTCAACTGTGGTCCTTCCGACCTCCTTCGCCCACTGACTATGGTCCCTCCGACCACCATCATCCAACTACACCCCTATAGACCAAACAAATAGGCCTGCAATCTCTTAAGAACATATGTGATATTGTTATCAAATTATGTATTGTGCTTTATACAATATGTATTTGCTACATTGAGTCAACGTCTTCCTCCAAAGAAAGACATTATTTATAATCTACTACTAATACTAGTAGAATCAATTTGACTGGACAATGCCTCATAGTTTTCCCCTCTTTTGGAGGGTTTTCACGTCTCTTATGCTGATGCATCATACTCTATTATATATGTATGTATGTTGAATCTTCATACAAGCTTATTTCAATTTGATTTATCTTGAGCTAAATTAATGCTTAGTTTGAGATAATTTTCTTATAGTTTTTTATAACAAATTATAAGAATTTTTTTTTCTAAAAATCATAGGAAAAATTGTGATAAAAATTTTCCCAAATAAAGCGTAATTTAACTTGAATTAATTTCATTGAACATTTATATGTGTAGAAATAAAAGTATAAAACTATGGTCAAAATTTTTCCATCTTACCGCCAAATATTTATTCAGTCATTAGCATTTATAGCAATATCTCAAATGCTGTCACAACTTAACGGGACCATAAAAATCTTCTTTCTCTGCAAATTCATAGCGTCATCGTTACGCCAATACTTCGTAGCCACTCATGTAGCATCCCGCATTTTGGTTCAGATTCGCGGTTCGCCGTTCGCGTGAGGATGGAGTTACACAAAATGCAATAATTTGCAGAATTGCGCAAAAGGAAAGAAGCGGTAACCATACCTGTCAGTGAGATGAAATCGGCTTCTTCCCCTGCAAGACTCCCCCGGCAGTTCAAAACGAAAATTTTAAATTTCCCCAATTCCCTTCCCGCCCCATCTCTCATGCCAATCTCCCTATAAATTTCTTTCAAAGCCTTTTTCCCCTGCGCGCCATCAAATCCTACAGTCGTAGATCTTCCTTTAATTTCTATTTCTCTTTTCCCTTTCCAAAAATGCCGTCTTTGCCGATGTCTAACGGTGTCGCTGACAACCGTGATGAGCAGGAAGAGCCGCTTCTTGCCCCAAACCCCGACCGCTTCTGTATGTTTCCGATACGCTATCCTCAGATCTGGGAGATGTACAAGAAAGCCGAAGCCTCCTTCTGGACAGCAGAGGAAGTCGACCTCTCCCAAGACCTCCGTCACTGGGATCAATCCCTCACCTCTGACGAGCGCCACTTCGTCACCCACGTTCTCGCCTTCTTTGCTGCATCTGATGGAATCGTCCTCGAGAACCTTGCCGGCCGCTTCATGAGGGAGGTACAGCTCCCGGAGGCTCGCGCCTTCTATGGATTTCAGATTGCCATCGAAAACATCCACTCCGAGATGTACAGCCTTCTTCTCGAAACATACATCAAAGATTCCTGTGAGAAATCCCATCTCTTCCATGCCATCGAGACCGTCCCCTGCGTCGCCCGCAAGGCTCAGTGGGCCCTACGTTGGATCGACGCCTCCAATTCATTTGCAGAGCGCATCCTTGCGTTTGCTTGCGTTGAGGGAATCTTCTTCTCCGGTAGCTTCTGTGCCATCTTCTGGCTCAAGAAGAGAGGGCTAATGCCCGGTCTCACCTTCTCCAACGAGCTCATATCTCGTGACGAGGGTCTGCACTGTGACTTTGCTTGCCTTCTCTACAGCCTCCTCAACAATAAGCTCTCTGAGGATAGGGTTCGAGAGATTATTTCCGATGCTGTCGATATAGAGAGGGAGTTCGTCTGCGATGCTCTCCCCTGTGCTCTTGTGGGGATGAATGCTGATCTCATGAGCCAGTACATAGAGTTTGTTGCCGATCGTCTTCTTGGTGCTCTGGGTTACGCGAAGATGTACGAGGTATCAAACCCATTTGACTGGATGGAGCTTATTTCCCTTCAGGGAAAAACTAACTTTTTTGAGAAGAGGGTCGGGGAATACCAGAAGGCGTCGGTGATGTCGAGTTTGAATGGAAACGGCGCCATCCATGAGTTCAAACTGGATGAGGATTTCTGAAGCTGCTTACTCTGCATACTTTGACATGTAATATTTTCGTTGTTTCATTTCTCATGTTTCTATGTTATGATTGGCGGATGACAATGTGTTTGCTTGGTTGTCTGTTTATCATTTATGAACTGATCCAATTATATAATTAATGCGTTTGATCGAATGTTTCATATATTTTGTAATTTTTATGTTGGATGTCTCCTTTTGTACTTGCAGGCTGTTTGATAGCACGTAGGATTTGATTTAATTAGGATTTCTTAAATTCAAATCTTCTAAAATTGTATTTTGGAAATCCTGAGGGGCATAAATCTTGATAATTGTTTGGTAATATTCATGATAAATTCTATTAAATCTCATGTGATTGTTTAGCTATAGTGCTGATTTAATGAGTGAATTTTTCCTCTTAAGCCAATAGATTTCCTAAATCTGGCCAAAAACAGGATTTCAAAAAATTGGGATTTGGCACAAAAAAGTGGAATTTTTTGTCTATGGTGATTTTCATTTGTTGTGAGATTTAGTTTTGCATTTTAAGCCGTTTGGCTGGATTTCACTCAAATCCGCCTTAAATTTGGTCTAAATTAATATTAATTAGCTATGTTGAAGTTTGTTTGGTTGATATTTTGGTTAAAAATTTGGTTGTTGAAGGCGAACATGTCTCTGGTGAGAATTATTTTTATTCTTTTTATTTACTTGTTTTCAATTTCGTCTTCCTTACCCTCCCTCAAATTCTACTCATATCCTCAAGCTTTGACAAACCTTTCCAAAGCCCTTCCAAGCTTTTCATCGCACTCCCAAACATGCCTTAAATCTCTTTCCACCTCTTCGTCAAGCCTGTACAGTCCACACCTATCATCAAGTCCCCATCTTCTTTCTCACTTTTTTTAACCAAATCCATTAGAAGTTGAATTGGAGCCCTCCATTGCCTTAAGATCTTTTAAATAATTACCTTTTTCTGCTATCTTCTCTTGGCCTCGTCGTAAACCTATTGCAACACCACTTAGGTTTTGTTTGTGTCGACTTTCTTATTGCTTCTTAAAACAACATTCTAGTATAAAATTTTTAATTTTTATAATAAAAAATTGCTTTAAGAAGCAATAAAAAGCCATCCCAAACAAAGCCTTAGTCAACCCAAAAGTTTCCTCTATTAAACCATCACTTTAAATATTTCATCATCCATGGTCACACCATTAGTTTGTGAATGATAGGTTGTGAAACTAAATTGTGCTTTCATTTTTTCTTCTAAGAAAATTTCAAAAGTTATTTGTGATTTTTATAACTTGATTAGAAATAATTATTCTTGGTAAGCCATATAAAATAACTCATTAATTTGAATCCTTAATCACATTTATAACCTAATATATGAATGACTTGTATTAGGATATATTACTAATTTTGATAATTATAAGATTTTTGGTTATTAGAATTGGAGTTATGTGGAATTTAAGCTCGGTGATAAGGTCACGATGCATTTAATTATAGAAAAGCTTCAATTAGGAACATTTAAAAAAATTGAATGCAAGAAAGTCATAATTTTTTGGAATTATGCAACACATAAGAACTAATGCTTGTGATATAAAAATTCCAAGACATTTGGGCATGGATCTAATTTTCAACACACTTGATTTGATATTGTTTTATGAGCTTATTGTTGATTCCTTTGATTTTGCTTTCTTTCCATCTCTTTTGTATAAGTCTTAATTCAACCCTATATTATGTATTTTTATGGAGCTTGTTTTAGAAATTATTTTTTATGTCATTATAATTTGATGATGGATTATAGATGTCTTATTTATGGTGGAGACATATTTAATTATGATGATTCATAAATTATTCTATAGGAGGCATATAATTTGTCTTGTTTGCTTGATTAACATCAATTGCTAAATTTATTGGAGTCGAATTTCTCTAAAGTAGGCATATTTGATAAAAATCTTCATGTTTATTCTCCTTGAAGGCATCACCTCATGCAATTATTTATGTATAATTCACTAGTTGAAGACATCACATCATGTTTATTTGTGTGCTTGATCTTGCTTGTCTTTATTTCATTTGGGTTAATTTTTTACAAATAATTGAAGTGGTTTGGGTAATTTATTGGTTTGAGTTGTTTGATATCTTGATGGAGGGTGTGCGAAGTTTGTAAAGAGGGGTTCTCTTGATGGAGGGTGTGTGGAGTTCGGAGGGTTTGTTTATACTAGTTGCGAAGTAGCTTGTATAGTTTTGTTTTATCTATAAAAAAGTTTATACACTTTCAAATGTCTTTTAAATCCCAATTTTATCATTTCTAGATATATATGAATTATGAACATCTTCATTATGAATGAAAAATGTTAGTTTATTTCTTACCTGATATTGGAAGTTTTATATGATGGAAATGAAAAAAAAGTTTAAATTATTATGGCATGTAATTATCAAGTTTAGTTTGAACATTCTGTATATTCGTACTTGCCAATTATATATCATAACAATTTAATTTTCTTGTTGCCTTGAAGTTAAGCTATAAAAATTACTCTTTAAATTCCACATCTTTTTATTTTTTATTTTTTACTTTTTTTTTTTGAAGAAGACTCAAGAAAGGGAGTGCGATTGTTTAATTTTTGGATAAATGACTCTTCAATGAAATTGGTGAATGGATTTTCCTCTTTGGTTGAGCTATTCCCCAATTTTATGAGCATAGTTTGGGTTAGTGAACTTTCATTTATTTCACATAAATTTCTTTTATATAATGAAAATTTCAAGACAACATAGTTACAATTTAAATTCCATTTCTCTTTTGAAACATATCATTAACAAATGATTGACAGTTGAATAATTTGTGGAAATTTCAATTGATAAAGCATATGTGAATATTTCACTTTGACTATCAATTAGAAAGTTGGAAAAGGCGAGCCTTTTCTAATTCATGTGCTTCAATGTGTTGGTAATGAATAAGCTCAGGATAATTTTAGGAACCTAGATAGAATTGAATATTTGTTATATGTGAGAAAATTTTGTTATGTGGCTAGAACTGGACTCCTAGTGAGTCGAATTGGTTTATAATCCCTCTCGCAAACCCCTAGCCGCACACATCATTGTTTTCGCTCACATTATAGGTGTATGGATTGAGGGCTAGGGAATCACATTGTTTCTCATTATAAGTTTGTACTTTATTTGGTTAAAGAGATATTGCTATTGCTAACACTCTCCCCTCTTGACTTTACGTCTTCCTATTCTAATCGATAAATTAGAATTTGTGAATGATAGGTTGTGAAATTAAATTGTGCTTTCATTTTTTCTTCTAAGAAAATTTCAAAAGTTATTTGTGATTTTTATAACTTGATTAGAAATAATTATTCTTGGTAAGCCATATAAAATAACTCATTAATTTGAATCCTTAATCACATTTATAACCTAATATATGAATGACTTGTATTAGGATATATTACTAATTTTGATAATTATAAGCTTTTTGGTTATTAGAATTGGAGTTATGTGGAATTTAAGCTCGGTGATAAGGTCACGATGCATTTAATTATAGAAAAGCTTCAATTAGGAACATTTAAAAAAATTGAATGCAAGAAAGTCATAATTTTTTGGAATTATGCAACACATAAGAACTAATGCTTGTGATATAAAAATTCCAAGACATTTGGGCATGGATCTAATTTTCAACACACTTGATTTGATATTGTTTTGTGAGCTTATTGTTGATTCCTTTGATTTTGCTTTCTTCCCATCTCTTTTTTATAAGTCCTAATTCAATCCTATATTATGTATTTTTATGGAGCTTGTTTTAGAAATTATTTTTGATGTCATTATAATTTGATGATGGATTATTGTTGTCTTATTTATGGTTGAGACATATTTAATTATGATGATTCATAAATTATTCTATAGGAGGCATGTAATTTGTCTTGATTTGCTTGATTAACATTTATTGCTAAATTTATTGTAGTTGAATTTCTTTAAAGTAGGCATATTTGATAAAACTCTTCATGTTTATTCTCCTTGAAGGCATCACCTCATGCAATTATCTATGTATAATTCACTAGTTGAAGACATCACATCATGTTTATTTGTGTGCTTGATCTTGCTTGTCTTGATTTCATTTGGGTTAGTTTTTTACAAATAATTAAAGTGGTTTGGGTAATTTATTGGTTTGAGTTGTTTGATATTTTAATGGAGGGTGTGCGGAGTTTATAAAGAGGGGTTCTCTTGATGCAGGGTGTGTGGAGTTCGTAGGATTTGTTTATACTAGTTGTGAAGTAGCTTGTATAGTTTTGTTTTATCTATAAAAAGTTTATATACTTTCAAATGTCTTTCAAATGTCTTTTAAATCCCAATTTTATCATTTTTAGATATATATGAATTATGAGCATCTTCATTATGAATGAAAAATTTTAGTTTATTGGCTCTTACATGATTTTGGAAGTTTTATATGATGAAAATGAAAAAAAAAGTTCAAATTATTATGGTATGTAATTATCAAGTTTAGCTTGAACATTCTGTATATTCATACTTGCCAATTATATATCATAACAACTTAATTTTCTTGTTGCCTTGAAGTTAAGCTATAAAAATTACTCTTTAAATTCCACATCTTTTTATTTTTATTTTTTACTTTTTTTTTTTTGAAGAAGACTCAAGAAAGGGAGCGCGATTGTTTAATTTTTGGATAAATGACTCTTCAATGAAATGGGTGAATGGGTTTTCCTCTTTGGTTGAGCTACTACCCAATTTTATGAGCATAGTTTGGGTTAGGGAACCTTCATTTATTTCACATAAATTTCTTTTATATAATGAAAATTTCAAGGCAACATAGTTACAATTTAAATTCCATCTTTTTTGAAACATATCATTAACAAATGATTGACATTTGAAAAATTTGTGGAAATTTCAATTGATAAAGCATATGTGAATATTTCACTTTGACTATCAATTATAAAGTTGGAAAAGGATAGCCTTTTCTAATTCATGTGCTTCAATGTGTTGGTAATGAATAAGCTCAGGATAATTTTAGGAACCTAGATAGATTGAATATATGTTATATGTGGGAAAATTTTGTTATGTGGCTAGATCTGGACTCCT